AAAGAAAGAAAGAAAGAAGAAAAAAAAGACACGGGGGTCTCACTCTTGCTCAAGCTGGTCTTGAGCTCAGGCCATCCACCCATCTCCACCTCCCAGAGTGCTAGGATTACGGACATGAGCTACCATGCCCAGCCCTCCTAATATCCAGTTTTTAAAAATATTTAAATAGTTAAAAATTTAATCACAGCCTGGGAAGGGTAGCTCACACCTGTAATCCTAGCACTCTGAGAAGCCAAGGCAGAACTGCTGGAGGCCAGGAGTTTAAGACCAGCCTGACCAAGACCAAGACCCCATCTCTACAAAAAACAGAAAAATTAGTGGGATCTAGTGGTGTACGCCTGTAGTCCCACCTAGCTTTAGATACAGGGTTGAGGCAAGAGGATCACGAGAGCCCAGAAGTCTGCAGTCGGAGTGAGCTATGTGATGATTCCCCTCTTCTTTAGCCAAGGAGACAGAGCAAGATCTTAAACCCACCCCCCACCCCCGCCAAAAATAATAAGTTCCTCCCAGAGAAATACAATTAAAATTTTAAGTGAACTTTAATAAAGAATATGTACAATTTGTCAATCTAAAAACTCAATTAAAATGTTTTTTAAAAGAAATAAAATGGAATTTTGCATTAAGATATAAGACATGGTGAATGTAAGTTTAAAAAAAAAAAGACTCTGGATAAACAGAATACTCCATCCTTCAGATGTGCTTACTTATAGACCCCCACCCTTGTTTCTGCATGTAGACGTCTTCATATATATGTGCTTAGGTCTGTTTCACTTTTCAGAATATGGCAAATTAAAATATCTTGAAATTTTAAAACTTAACATTAAGGTTTCGATTACATTCATCCTGTAGGACCTGACTGCTATCTATAAAAGAAATAACTAAATTCAGTGTTCAGCCTAATTAAATAATTCTTCCAACATTAAGCATGATGAGAGACACTTTTCCAAGATACAGACTAAATCCTGAGTTCAGTAAAGTAAAAAATGCTCAAGAAAGGCACTGAAGTAAAGTGTGATCCCCTTCTAAATGGAACTAGACTTGGAACAGTTGTTTTTAACAATGTTACTTCTCAAAAAGACCTTACTTTTTGCTACTTTCAACTCTTGAAAAAGTCACTTACAACCTGAAAGTTATAATTAAGGTTCTAAAACGGAGAGTTAAAAACCATACATCCCCTCCCTCTTTGATCAAAGTAGCAGGTCTGGAAGCCTGTGCTAATACTTCAGATGAAAATCTCTCCACTTCCACCTCGCTGTGAAGACAGATTCAGGCAAATATACACACAAGCGCCCTCTTCTGGCCATAATTATTTACACAAGCTTGTCGAGATAAGCGTTTATTCCTCAAGGCCTTTTGACCTCAACTGTGCATTTTTAACTCCAGCAGCACCAAATTAAGATGACCTTTCCCCAGGATAACTCAGCTCTTTACAGGGGATCTGCTCTGAGGCATCAGCACAAAGATGTTTCTGAATAAATATATATAATTGTGCAAAATAATGAATTTAAAAGGATTATATTAAATATTTAATAGCCCGATTATGAAGCAATTAACATCACTAAAAGAGTTGTGATTGAAAGCCGGAGATCACTATGTATAATAAACTGTCATTCCGGGGCAACTGAGCTGCCTCGAATACAATGCAAGGTGAGCAATGTCAGAATGCTTTCTTTGAAAGGTACAATTTAACCCCCAAACCACCGAAACCATAGGAAGCTGCTCTCCGGAGCCCGCTGCACAGCCTCACACACACGTGGGGGGAAAGGTTACCTGGAACATGTGAAAGGCTAGCTTTTCGTTGTATTCCCACTGCTTCATGGCGTACTCCACCTCCGGGGGCACAGGGACAGGGCTGTCGCCCAAGTTGGAGGCCATGTGGTAAAAGTCGGAAATCTTGGCCAGCTGTTCTCGAAGATATCTGGTAGATATCTGGGTCCATTCTGCATTTATTTTAAAAAGAAATATGAATTTCTAGATAACATAGGTACAAGAATTATACTCCCCCCCCCATTATCTCCAGGAAAAACATATTCCATAAAAAATTACTTTTACATGTGTGAGAAGTATTCAGAAAAGCATCCGCCCCAAAGCCCTTAGAGAACATGTGCCAGGGTGAGGCGGCCCACCCTAAAGCAGCCAGTGGGGACACCAGCCAGCCCTCAGGGGGACAGGCGCTGCCCTCCTGCTTCTGACCCTTAACCTAGGAGAAAAGATGTTTGCACTCAGATTAGTTCCGTCTGGTGATACAGTATGTCAACCAAGAGTTACTATCCCAAAATATCAAAGGCACCAAAATAACAAAGAAGTAGAACCCTGGAGGTAAGACATCAGGAAACCTACGACGAAAAAATTCAAAATCGCCCAAATGCAGCTCTCTTCAGGGTCTGTTTTTCAGACTCCACATGGGGTTTTAAACATTAATTAATGATTAAGACTTGTTCTGTTTTTGTCAATCTGTCAGAGGACTGACATTCGCCACAAGCTGGACGCGAAGGCATTCCAATATTCCAAACTGCCCTGCCCCCAGGGGCAGGGACACACCCGGGAAGCTGCCCTGGAGGACGGCCATCTGGGCCTTCAATGATTCCCGCCCCTTAAACAACATTAGAGGCCTCAGGAGCCAGAAAGGGTGAATGAAATCAGAGAGGGTAAAAAGCAATTAAAGTTAGAGACTAGAAAGGAAACCAAAAAAGTAGCACCAAAAAAAATCACTAAAATTACTGAAAAATGACTGCCACAGGGGCACAAATTAAATCAGTGTGTTGCCTCTGGCAACCATGAGGGATATGATGCCAACTTTAGCCCATTCTGTGGATATAAATGTAATAATTGCGCGCTCGCAGCCAGATTTCCTCCAAGGATTAGCAGAACAGCATTTCAGAAGCAATCGCCCTACCAGAGCATAACCACACAGGGCTGTTGCCTATTATTTGGCACCAGGTTCTCTCACCTTCTGTTTTGAAAAAAGCAACAAAAACAACAAGAATAGAAACAAAGATTCTACTAGCAATTGAATATTGTGTTTTTATCTTTCAAGTACTTTAAAATTACTTGATAACAGAACCCAGAGACGGCTTCCGTTGAGTTTTGGTCTAAGCCACTTATTTTAATTATCTTATTTAAAATTAAAATTCAAACGCATACTCGAGTTACTAAACTCTAGCGAGGAGCCAATGCAAAGAGATGAACAGATTCTACGTCAACACCGTTTTCCGTTTCATGGTTTTTCAGAAAGCACCAATAACAGATTTTAATGTTAAAGTTGATGCAGTGGCATCAGAAACGAAACAGGAAACCATCGATGTCATCATCTTCTTGTGCCCATGTTATGGACTAACAGTCCTATGACACTCGTTCAACAAAACAAAATACCAACCACCAGAAGAGACGGGTTTAGCTTAGCTATAATAAGCAAAAACAAAAATAACAAGGATCCAAATCCTAGCTTTTGTATGCCAAGCCTTGCTATTAACTCACTCTCAGTACGGTACTATTCTCAATATCCTCACCGAATACTTCAGCCTGGAGCTAAAAATAACACACATTCATATACCCCTACTTTTCTGGAGCATGTTTTCCTTTTATGATAAGTTTTTTTTTTCAATATAGGAGAAATACGTGTTCATTATAGAACATTTCTACCGTAGATCTGAAAAGAAGAACCATCTGTAACCCCACCACCCATAATCATTAATATATATCTTTTTTTAAAGTGTTGTTTGAATGTTTCTATAAACACACATGCCTCTTTTTTTTTATTGCTGCCTATATTAATAATCCACAATCTGAATTCCTTCTGAGAAACCATAAATGAAGGCCCATTAGCACTGTGTTTAACTGACTGTCATATTGATGGGATAGATTCAGATATCTGGGGACATAAGACAGTCCACTTTGGATTAGGATAAAAATTGTGGATGTATGGAAAACTGCCATGAAAAATTGAAAACAGAAAATAGTTACTATAGCACTATACTCCTTAATAACTGTTAAGAATGTTCATAACTAGGATGCATAGAGAACAGTAATGAAAGGGGACGATGTGGCCAGGGGCCAGCTGGGCCTACTTTGAACTCAGGCAGTGGCTCTCAGCCCTGATTGCACAACAGTCACAAAAGAGCCTTAAAC